CCCACTCCCACTCCCACTCCGTCTTCCTCCTCCATTCCTCCCTCCGTCTCCTCCCTCTTCCTCTTCCTGCATCTGTCAACAAAAGCCCCGCGACGCCCTTTTTTATTCTCTCTCCCCTCTTCTTCGCCCCCACCACCAAGGTCAATCCGATCGACTTGCCTGCTTCGCTCTTCGGTCGCCTTTTCCCTTGGGTGGTTTTGATTTGATTTGACTTGATTCCCTGCTTTTCCCGCCCTCTGCGCCCGGCCTAATAACCCCCTCCCCTTCCCTCCGGTCGTCAACCGTCGTCGCTTCGCCTTCTTCTCATCATGGACGGCGACGACCTTATTGCCTCGGTCTACCGCAAGATCGAGCGGGAAAAGGCCCTCATCACCGCCGCCTCCAACATGCGACAGTCCACCGATAACCCCCTCGTACAACAGAGAGTCGATGCGAACATCCGCGATGGCCGAAAGAACATCGCCTACCTCGAGGAAAAGATGCGAGAGCTCCAGCTTCGTCGCATGGAACAGGACGGCGGCTCCCCCACCGAGAAGCGCCTGCCTCCTGGCCCTGACGCCCCGGCCCCTCCTCCGAAGGATTACGGTCCGGGGTACGCGGGGGACGACCAGGGAGAGTACGGTGATGCGTACGGCGGCAGTGGTTCCATGCCCGCCGGCGCCCCGTTCAAGGATCCCCGTCCTTTTGCTCCGGTGCCCAAGGCCCGGCCGAATTATACAAAACTGGGTCGGTTCTTACAACTCTCTGGGCGCATACCGCAAACTAACCCGTCCGCGCCTCGCAGATCTGATCAAATACGATACCCCCTATCTCGGCCCCAAGATCCAACTCATGTTGTCCCAGCTGGAGTTCAAATTAAGTGTCGAGAAGCAGTACAAAGCCGGTATCGAGAAGATGGTCCGCCTATACCAGGACGAGGGCGACCGGAAGAGCCGCGCGGATGCCGAGGGTCGCCGCATCGAGAGTAACCAGAAGATTCAGCTGTTGAAGCAGGCTCTGAAGAGATACGAGGACCTCCACGTCGACATCGAATCTACAGATACTCCTGACGGTATGACTTCTGTTCCCCTCCTCCCTTCTGTCGCCACCGCGCCGAAACTAACGTCTCCCGCCCCTCCGATTAGATGAGAGTTTAAGCACCCCCAACCTGCGCAAACCCCTCACGGGTCTCCTGACCTTGCGTATCCATGCCGTAAGGGATGTCGATCACGCTGCCGGTTCGAGATTCTCGAGAGGGCCCGAAACCTACGTCGTTTTGAAAGTCGAAGATGCAGTCAAAGCCCGAACAAAAGCAACCCGAAACGATAGATGGCAAGACGAGACATTCAACATTGACATTGACAAGGCGAACGAATTAGAGCTTACGGTATACGATAAATCGGGCGACAGACCTACACCGATTGGAATGCTTTGGGTACGCATCTCGGACATTGCAGAGGAGATGCGTCGCAAAAAGATCGAGACTGAGTTGAATGCATCTGGCTGGGTGTCGGCTGATAAGATGGAGGCCGGTGGCACGCCGGGGCGCCCTGATATGGCTGGTCCGACGGGCTCTACCCATGGCCCCGGATCGGCGGGTCACCCTGGCAGTACTGCTCAAGGTCAAGCCAATCTGCCCCCCGGCGCGGCGCCTCCCGGAGGTCCAGTCATGATCGACTCGTGGTTCGCCCTGGAGCCGGTTGGTCGCATCTATCTGTCGTTGAGTTTCGGTAGGTCCCTTGCTTCATGTCGCACGCCCTCGGTGGACTAACATCGCTGTACAGCCAAGCAAATGAAGGACCGCCGCCCGTTCGATGTCGGTTTGAACCGTCAGGGTGCTGTTCGACAGAAGAAGGAAGAGATTCACGAGAAGCAAGGTCACAAATTCGTCACCCAACAGTTCTACAACATCATGCGCTGTGCTCTTTGCGGCGATTTCTTGAAGTATGCGGCCGGCATGCAATGTGCTGATTGCAAGTATACCTGCCACCGCAAGTGCTATCCCAAGGTCGTCACCAAGTGTATCAGCAAGGCAAACTACGAAACCGATCCGGACGAGGAGAAGATCAACCATCGTATTCCTCATCGTTTCGAGAGTTTCGCCAATATCTCTGCCAATTGGTGTTGTCACTGCGGATACCTACTTCCTTTTGGACGCAAGAGTGCCAAGCGATGCTCAGGTAAATATTCCGATCCAAGAGTACTTATGCTACATACTAACGCTCGCTCTTTAGAATGTGGTCTCACTTGCCATGCTCATTGTACACATCTGGTTCCGGATTTCTGTGGCATGTCCATGGAGGCTGCCAACCAAATCTTGGAAACCATCATCCGGGCCAAGAATCATAACAAATCCACTTCTGTTAGTTCTGGCCTCAGTGGCCGCACCCTTCGACCCAGCGGCCCCCCTCAACCACCTCAAGATAACGCCGCTCTTGCCTATCCTCAAAAGCCCACCGAGGGTCCCTACGGGGCGCCTCAAAGACAACCTTCCGCCGAAGCCGTGAGCGCCGCGACTAACTCATATATGCCACCACAGTCCCCGACAGCCGCCCAACGCCAGCAGCTTCCTCCCAGAACGTCGTCGTCGTCAAGTCCTGCTGCGGCCGCGGCCGCCGCGGCGACCGGCCTTCGCACTCCTCAGCAACCGCCAGGTAGGTTACGATTTCCGTCCTCTAGCGTTCTCTGTCAACTAACAGTGCAATCAAAGTCGATACTGGCCGTCCTGTGCAGGCCCCGCCCCCGCAGCACGCCCACTACGACCCGGCTGCGTACGCATCCTACCAGCAAGCCATGCAGCCCCCGCAGGCAATGCAACAGGTTGCGTCGCCATATGGTATGCAGCCACAGCAACAGCCTGTTCCCGTGATGCAGCAACAGGTTGCTGTCAAGGAAGAAGTTCCACCTCCGCAGCCTAAGGTTAGAATTGGACTGGATCACTTCAACTTCTTGGCTGTCCTTGGTAAGGGTAACTTCGGAAAGGTCATGTTGGCCGAGACAAAGACCACCAAGAAGTTGTATGCCATCAAGGTCCTGAAGAAGGAGTTCATCATCGGAACATGATGAAGTGGAGAGCACCAAGTCCGAGAAGCGTGTCTTTTTAATCGCCAACAAGGAACGCCACCCATTCCTTCTGAACCTCCATGCTTGTTTCCAGACGGAGACTCGTGTGTACTTTGTGATGGAGTACATCAGCGGTGGTGATCTGATGCTGCACATTCAGCGGGGCCAATTTGGCTTGAAACGAGCGCAGTAAGTTGTCTGACGCGTTCCTCAAGCTATCATATGCTAATTCGATATCCAGATTCTACGCTGCGGAGGTCCTGCTGGCGCTCAAGTACTTCCACGAGAACGGCGTTATCTACCGTGACCTGAAGCTTGATAACATCCTGTTGACCCTGGACGGTCACATCAAGATTGCGGATTACGGTCTCTGCAAGGAGAACATGTGGTATGGAGCGACCACCAGCACTTTCTGTGGTACTCCCGAATTTATGGCGCCTGAGGTACGTGCTCATGCCCTTTCTTACTTGAACGTTGCTGACTCGGTCCAAGATCTTGCTGGATAAGAAGTATGGCCGGGCCGTCGACTGGTGGGCTTTTGGTGTGTTGATCTACCAGATGCTCCTTCAACAGTCTCCCTTCCGTGGTGAGGATGAAGAAGAAATCTACGACGCCATTCTTGCGGATGAGCCCCTCTACCCCATCCACATGCCGAGAGATTCGGTGTCCATTCTCCAGAAGCTCCTCACGCGCGAGCCTGAACTCCGACTGGGTTCGGGGCCAACGGATGCCCAGGAGGTGATGTCTCACGCTTTCTTCCGCAATGTCAACTGGGATGACATCTACCACAAGCGGGTTCCGCCGCCCTTCAAGCCCACAATTAGCAACGCCACAGATACCAGCAATTTCGATCAGGAATTTACCAGCGTCACGCCAGTTCTCACCCCTGTGCAATCAGGTAAGTGTCGAATCCATCGCAACCCAAGACTAGTCCAGTCAACTAACTTCATGCGCTACAGTTCTCTCACAAGCTATGCAAGAAGAATTCCGCGGATTTTCTTACACAGCCGACTTTGCTTAATGCGTTATGCTTTGATCTTCATTTATTGGACTTGGGACTGCGATGTTTACCTCCTGGTTCATTACCAGTCGCCTTCTGTTCTTTTACTTGCACGGAAATGCTTCTTAACATACCCATGAGAGTTTTGAGAGCTGGTAAAGGCTTTTGTGAGTGCAGAGGGAATAAGTGGCTTGGACTGGGGTACTCCTTTTAATGTCTCTCTTCTTGTCTCTGGAATTTGAGGCTGTTTCTATTCCAACGAGGCTATCTTTCCCATATTTGGGATGTAGCTCTCCCACGTTCAAGAAATCTGTTATGCTGTATGATGGAACGGAGTTCTGCTTATACTTGCGGAAAGAACATGGCATACATGGCTACTTAATGACGACCTCTTATTTTCGTCTCTGGATTGAGACTTCAACACCCTGCGTGTAGACAAACAACTTCTGTCATGAGTTGCCTCGGGTCTGGATGAGATACCATCAGCCTTTAGGGTTATAAACGCTTCGGTGACGATGAAGTTCTGGGTCGTGTATACTTCCAAGTTCGGCCTCACTATCTGATGGCATGAGTATTGTGAATCGGCAATCTGGTATCAATGACTACCTATGTGATAGACCCGAGGAACTCGTAGAAAGCCATTTCGAAAGTTGACGATACTGTCAAATACTCAGTAGTAGGTACCTAGATAAAGTGTTACTGGGCGAATGAATGATGCTTCCCACCCTGATTGGGTCTTGCCTTCTTTGTTGCATATAGCTCGACGCTTCACCTCCGCTGACTCGACAACTTCTACCACACCCTCTCCCTTCACTCATTGTCTCCAACGTCAGTTTGTCTCATCCCTCATCCTCTCCTTTGTATGTGACCGCTACAGGACAAAAATAGAACATCCTCCGTTGCGCCTCGAAGACGAAAGTCATCATCATCTCACTATCCCAACCACCTGATTATCTAAAATCACCCCGAGTAAGATATATTCTCCTTTTCCCTGTTTGCCTCGTTCCTCTCCGGTCCCTATCATCGACGCCTTCTGACTGCTCTACTTCATACAACAGATCTCAACACCCACCTCGTCC